AATGTGTCTCTCATGATTAACACGTCAAAACTTCACTCTGCCCAAAAAAACACCTTGTGTTCAGAGTCTACAGAAGTATACCTGGCAGTAATAGTTTATGAAATGGATCCGTGAGTGAGTGAGCAAAGGCCAGAACATAGAGTACACCCAGTATTATAGATTTCCTTTTTTTTTTTTCAAAGACAGGCAAATGAACAGATCTTCTCCATGTGAAAAAAAAACGATAGGATAGAAAAAAAGTTAACGCTTACTTTTTTTCAGTGTGGCCAATAACCGTTTCTGGGAGTATTATAATGAGTTTTCATACTTGTACAGGAAAGATACAGGGATCACTGTTAGCAATGACGACCTGTTTTATATCAGAAGCACTTCTGTTTTCAATACAGACGTTTATAAGGAAGTTCTATGGAAAGGAGGCTCCTGCAATGAAACAAACACTCAGAGGTTTTTATAGTAAACCAAACTTTTGTTTTAAGGGTTTTAAAAATAATTTTATTGGCTAATAATTCACATTACCATACAGTGTTTATTCATAATTTTAAACATGATCATTTTGATGTCATTCAACTTGATCTTTAAAAAATTTTTTTTCCATGTAGAGTAGATGCTGAGAGTAGAGCGTCTTGCTCCAATTTTTGAACCCCTCCATGCCTGTGACATCATCTGATTAAGTGGATAAGATGGACATGAAATGGACAAATTCAGAATGGGCAGGATGTAGCAGAACATGTGACGTAACAATTTGTCTTTTTGTAGGATACAAATATGAATTGTTCACCTTTTTTCCTTCTGCTAATCACAACTGTTACTCACCTCCAGGGGCTTTTAAAGTCTGTGTGTTTCTTAATCACACACCTCAGTCAGCCTGGCCCAGCTTCCTTTTCATGACGGGCGGCTCCTGTTGCATCCGGGCAATCTAAAACCGCCTTTTTAGGGCGCCTCTGAAAACAGCCATACATTCGCAGACAGCACCGGAGTGCAGGGTGAGAGGAAAGGTATTAATTCAGATGTTACCAAACCGTGATAATGCTATTATTTCAGGCATCTATTTGGGTATGTTTACACTTGGTAGTTTGATAAATAAGTCCTAGGGGCTCCTCTTGGTTGCCACTGCCCTCCTTGAATCTCGGATCCTGTCTGTCTTATCCTATCCGACAGTAGAATTGATGCCGCTCTAATCCCTGGAAGTTTGGAACTAATGAACTGACTGCTGAGCTGCCGCCACGGAGCTTGGTCCCAAACTATACTGTACTTCACACTCGATTTATTCTCCAGATGGCGAGACTGTGCCGCCCCGCCGGGAGGGACCACCCCTTCCACTGGAGTGTAAAAGTGGACGGATGTTGTTTTCTTTGCAGATTTGATCATTCTGAGCTAGAAACTTGCAAGGATGATTAGTTATTAGCTTTAATGGGTGCCAATTGAACCAACTGCACGCATATTTTCTTCTTTAATTTCAGAGTCGGCAGATCTCAGTGATGGTTGATTTAGCCACTTCCTTACGTCACTGGAGCACATCTCTTGTGCCTCTTCCCCAGGTGACGAGAACCCAGTCCTGAAATCACAGCACGCGTTGGTTCCTGGCGCAGACAGAGCCACATAATACAGTGGCTTGTGTATCAGGACAAGTTGATTCGCCACTGGTCCGCTGCACTGAGCAGCCCAGGACCCAGCTCACCACCGAAAGGGGGGACTTGTCGCACTTCTCAGGACAGGGGCTGTGCCAGCGTCCTCTGTGACCTGTGCTCGGAGAAGCTTGCCTCTGGAACCAAACCCCGGGTACGGGACGCCTCGGCTACTTGGCCTCTTCAAAGATCGAATGCAACTGCTGGGAAATGCTCCCGCTCCATTGTTCCATGTTTCCCAGCTTGTCGGATTTTAGGCAAACAAGTTAATTCCACATTGAGCCCAGTTTACCAAGGCTGTCATATACTCTTACAATATTGAGAATGCCATTTTTAACAGTGCTTTGCTCCCAGAATCTAAGACACTCAGCCCTCTAAAACAAAGCAAAACAGAAGTTGTTTTTGGCGTGGTTCTTTCTGTTTGCATTTCCTTTTCCATCGATCTGCAGGGAATTTCCCAGCAATGCCCTGCGCTGACCAGGCTAGCCATTCTGAGAAGATGAAGCCTGCCAGGCCGCTTCTTACTACTCCACCCACCCGGGTGGGAGTGAGGGGGATGGTTACGGACAGACAGGAGCCCTCCAACACGAGGAAGAGAGCATGAAAGGAGGCTGGAGACACAGAAAGAAACAGAAGCACAGCATCTCTTTCTTTTCACAACTAGGAGGAAGGGGACTCTGTCTAGCTAAAGACCAAGAACTAAACTTAATTGTTCTTAGAAACTGTTTCCTCTCAGCCCAACAGATGGCATGGGTGTGTTTGCTAGCACAGTAACATATTTCACCATTAAAATACCAAAAGGGAACCAAATCAACATGCTTGTTGGTTGGTGTAAACTCGGTGAAGTTGTTGGATATTTGGGGATGCATACCAGAGGGATGCACACTTATTTATGTAAATTACCACAAGCAACAGCCTGCTAACAAGGGTGTTTATACCTCCAAAAGTGTCATTGGTTTGGGGGGAGAAGGGGTTGTTTTGTTTTTGTTTCAGGAAAGGTACAGCCAATGAAGTGCAAAGAGCTCAATTTCAATTTTGAGCCAAAAAAAAAAAAGTCTAATAAAATCCTGTGTACACACAGCTCATTATGGTAACATGAAAAGTACTCATCAGATTAGCCAAAAATTGGAATTAGGGACTTCGTTCACAGCCAGTTTCACAAGGTCTGAATTTTATCAAGTAAACCTGAATGTGCTGAAACCATGACAGTCGGACTTTAGATAAAATCACCAACAGGTTTAGGACATGAGCTTTGAACAGTCTTTCAGTTCGGTGCTCAGCGGTCTGATTTTTGTTTGACACCAACATTAACAATTTAGGACGCTGCCATTGCCAAGGTGAGCTGATTATCTGAATGATTCAGATTTTAAAAGACCTCGGAGCTTACCCCACCTTGTTAGCCCCCTTCAGTTTTCCACCCACTCTGCCCCAGTGGTCCCTTTACAAGCCTGCCTGGCAGTGCCGAGAGAAGCCCTCAAGGCGGAAATGTTTCTAAGTCAGAGCAACCTTGAGATTGTACGGGCCACACCGAGCGTCACATGTTCTAGGCACTCTGAGACCAAGGGTTTACAGACACACGCTGCCGACGGGGTAGAAACCTTTCTTTCGGAGCGGCCGCAGACGGCTTGGCTTTGTTGTCTGTGGCTGTCGAGTGGAGCTCCTGATTCATAGCGATCAACCCGCAACTGCATGAAACACTGGCCTGGCGGGGCCCTCCCCACGATCGGTTGTGGACAGGGCTGTGGGATCCGCAGGGTTTGCAGAGCTTCTGTTTGGGAAGTGGCTCACCAGGCCTTTCTGCTCAGACAGCCTCAGAATCGTGACCGGAAGCTCCATCATCAGGATGAGGATATTTTGTGGGTGGCAGTGCAGGGACACAGGGCTGTGGGATGACCAGATGCAGGATGTGGAGCCAAGTCACTCTTGGCTGGATCTTCCTTCTCGCTCCTGCTTCTGTCTAAACTTAGCCTAATTGTTGGCAGTGGAAGCCCTGTAAATCAAGACTCCACTGAGCTGTCTCAGACTGGTTCTCGCTGCTCTATTTCCATCTGACCTGACAACTCTAAGCTACTGTTTCCTCTCACACTGCGTAACTCAGACCACATTTGGAAGCCTTGCCTGCTTCCACTCCGTCGTGGCCCTGCCTCCGTCTGGTTTAAATCTACTGTCCTGGCTCATCTCCTGCGTTGGAATGAGCTGCGTGTTGGCTTAAATAATTCTTTTCCTTCTCCGCTTTGCCTCACTCTTTCCCTAGATAAGAACTGGTGTTCAGACGGCTGTATAGTGTGAAGACGGTTTGGTTTTGTTTGGGAACCAAGTGCATCAGCAGTGGGAGCTTTAAAGTTTTATGAGTATCATAAAAGCCCTTCCCAAATGAAACTACTTTTCGAAAGTCTTCATTCTGACGGTGAGAATTTGTTGAGGGCTGTTGGCAACGTGGAGGAATTTGTTTGTGAAACTGAACTGGCAGGAAGTAATGACTTCAAGTGCTTTCCATCTCTTGACTCCAGTCTCCCCACCGCCTTCCTCACCCCCCACCCCGCACCCCAAACCAATAAGAAGCTTGTTGGATTTCATGTAATCCACCCCTCCCCGCCCCACCTCCACTGCCTGGGACAATTCAAATCCTGTAGTAGACTTTCAACATTTTTTTCTTAACTGTGAAGCAGACGGTCAAGTCAGAGGATATATATATATATATCTATAGATATAGATACACACACACACACACACACACACACACATATATATCATTTGCCACTTCATGGGATTTCTTGGTGATATTTTTTATTGCCTTCCAGCTGAATAAATTGGAGCTTTTAATAGAATAAAGAGTCCGTTTTCCACGAGCACCTTCTTAATTGAATGTCAAGATTCACCTCAGTTGCAAAAAAAAGAGTTAAACTCATGAGGCACGTGGAAAAACAAGCTCCTGTGGTCTCCCTAATGTGAATCTGCTGAAATAGTAGATAAGAGGACGTGTGCCATTACCCAGATGTGAGCCAGTGGCTTACATTTAAGGATGCGGACCCTGTCACCTGTGGTAAGTGCTCGGCGAGCTCTCTCCCGCTCTTCTCCTCCGCCGGAGAGAGTGCTGAGGAGCGAGCCAGCGGCCCTGTCGAGAAGGAAAGGCACTGGTGGTGTGGGGAGGCCTCTCTAGCTGGGTGTTAGTCATCTTGAGAGACGCCTGGAAGCCCATCGTCGGCCCAGAGCAGGTGACTTACTTTACATAGCACGTGTTTAGTGGACAGGACAGGTGGGACTCTGACCTTGTGCTCGCTCCGAATCCACCGCATCACTGTTTCCACTGACTGCTCCACCCTGTTTCCTCTCAGACAGAAACCAAATTTGGCCCCATGTTCCCAACCCTTGCAGAGTGAAGCGCGAATGAGAATAGTCAAAACTCTGGAAGACTTTGACCTTGGCCCCACAGAAAAGTGCGTGAGAATCAACGCAGTGTCCAGCGGTCTTGCCGAAGAAGACCTGGAGGCCCTTTTGCAGTCCCGGATCCTTCCTTCCAGCCTGATGCTCCCCAAGGTCGAACACCCCGAGGACATCCAATGGGTGGGTAGCTAAAGCTTCATTCTGAAGAAATGCCTTAGAGCCAGCTGAGGAGGAGAAGTCTGAAGGGAAGAATCTAGATGCTACAGGGTTTGAAGGGGCGAACACAGAGCAGAGGAAGTAAGTGGGGGTGGGGGGAGGAGACCGTTTCCTTCATGGAGAAAAATCTGGCTTCTCCCACAGGTTGCTGTGGGGCAGCCCTTCTTAAATGCTGCCTCTGCTTTCCAGTCAGATTTGATCTTACAGCAGCCCCTAGAACAATCCTTGGAAACGAGTTTCCCAAAGAATTGGATCTAGTTTTACACCCTTACCCACTACCAGGTTTACCTGGTAAACCTGCAAAAAATTTACCTGTAAATAATGTTTACCAGGACTCACTTAGAGCTGTGATCTGCATGGTCAGCAGTTCAAAACCAGCAGCTGCTCCTCGGGAGAAAGACGGGGCTTTCTACTCTCCCACCTAAGTAGTTACAGTCTCGGGGTCGCTATGAGTTGGCATGGACTTGTTGGCAATGGGTTTGATTTATTTGTTTACTTATTTTTGAGGACTCGCTCGAACTAATCCTGTACAGCGACAGCATGTTAACCAGATATGAAAAAATGCGCATAAAGTAGGGAGGGAAAAGGTCACTCCATAGGGCAACTGGAGGAATAAACAGGAAGCTTTTAACTAATGGCTTTAATTAGTGCAGATATTATTTCCTGAGCAGTTCTCCGTTTCTTCCCTTTCTAATTGCTGACAGGTGTGTTTGCGTTTCATGACAGACTTTTCAGCCAATAAAAACCTGAAATGTAAAGTGGTTGGCATGTCAAATTACTTAAGAAAACTTTGGAATGGGCCTAATTATGTTATGATTGTTTTCATTGTTGGGGGGGGGAGGCTACATTTTATTTCAGCCTCTCTATGATTTTGCAAATCTCTGTTAAACAGCATAGCATGTCACTCCACTACTCCAGGGCAGCGAGCCCGTGAGTTGGGAATGACGGAGATGTGGGAAGGGCGTGCCAACTGTGCTGGCTTCTGGTGCCACATCCAGAACAGTCTGTAGGCCTGTTGATGCGACTCTCACCATGTTGTGGTTCGGATACCTGAGCAAACTGCTCACCTCTTTTATGCCTTTAGATACGTATGTTGGCTCTGTGCGGTCCACTGCAGTGCCCACCAGCCACGCGTGGCTACTACACACTTGAAATACAACAAGTCCAAATTGGGATGTGCTGTACGTGTAAAGTTCGCACCTAATTTTGAGGTCTTTGTACCAAAAAGAATGTAAAATATCTCAGCCATCAACTTTTATGTTGATTACATGTTGAGAGACTATTTTTGATCTAGTGGATCAAACCTGTTGCCGGCAAGTCCACTCTGCCCCACTGTGAGCCTGTAGGATAGAGCACAGCTACCCCGGGGGGTTCCAAGGCTGACATCTTTACAGAAACAGACTGACACACTTGGCCCCTGCTATCAGAGTAAATGCAAGATATGATTAAAATGAAATTTACCTGTTTCGTTTGATTTTTGCAAAGAAATTTTCAGTAACACATGTGGCTTCCCTTATATTTTTTTGGACAGCTCTTGTGGACTTCTCGAAGACCCATACTCAAGGGGTAGAATTTACTTTCGACCCTGAAGTTCTCCTCTCCCAGGCTACCCTGAGGAGCTGGGAGACACTGGTAGAGCATGTGACTGTCTTGCAGGGCTCCTCCCCATTCATATAGGTCTTAAATGGATTGAAATGGAACCCGAAGTCACTGTTCCCCTGTGGCTTCCTGGTCAATGCCTATTGATCACCGGTATTACCGGGGGCAGCGCACACCCAGCCTTCTGCGGCAGTTGCTGTTCACGCCTCTGAGGTCCTGGGTCGTGAGGCACCTACTGCAGTGGAGACAGCCACCGATGAAATTATTTTAAAAGGATTTCTAGTTAACAGTAGTCTTTGGGGCTGTTTATTTTTTCCTCTGCATTTGTATTTATGTGAAGCCTAAAACGCAGCGCCTGATGCACAACTGAAAGATGGGCTTACTTGTTTTCTTTTGTGTGAGAATCTCTTGCTCGCCTTTTGTCGCTAGTGTGGGTTCTTGTTTGACTGGCACGGCTTATTGGACGATAACAAGCGTGACTCTGCCTCCTTTGTCGTGGGACAATTCTCCCACAAATCCCGAACACTGTGCATTCTTCCAGCACACTATTGGGTGTGCACTGGAACTGAAAGAATTGCTGCGCCCTGCTACTTCATCTCCTCCCCACTCTCTTTGTGATGTCCCCCAGCCCCCTCCACCTCGATGAAATGAACACTTTACCAGGCCGGAAACATTTAATCGTCTCCTTTTGAAAAAATTAATTGAAACTTCTCCACTAGTTACCTTTTGTGTTAGTACTTAATGCAATTTTTTAAAAAGAGGGGGTGGGGAGTGAGAATATGTCATTTTGAAATATCCCTCTTGGCTTAAAATCAAAAGGCTTTGCAGTTTTTTCCCCCCTCTCACGAAAAGCAGAAACATATATTTAAAATTGTATATGTCATTTTAAACTTAGGGGTTGTTAATTATCATCAAGAATGGGACAAGGACTGTTTCAAGTTTTTAAAGAGAAAGAAAAACAAAAAAATCACCCAGCCCACTGCATCTTTAACACCAAAGGCATTAATACCTTACTCCCCATTTTCCAACGCAAATGTGACCTGAACTGTGTTTTTATTTTCATCGACATCAAATACTGTGCGTCTTGTCTCCCTGCCTTGCAGCCCTCTTCATTTCGGCTGAGTTATTCCTTCCCTTGAAAAAAGTTGCTATTAAGGAGGTGATGACGGTGATGTCGGAGGAAGGGGGAGGGCGGGGAGAGCAACTGGGAATGATTCTTCATTACTGAAAGCTGTGATTTATTTTAGCCTAATTGTAAAGTTACTGCAAATTGCTCAAAAGCTTTTTAAAGATCCCAGTGATTAGATTTTTTTTTAGGAGGGGGGCTGCACAGGCAAGGCGGGGGCAGCTAAAAGGGGAAATAACACCTCTAATCCCGCTTCTGGTAAATAGGCTGCCAGCTTTTAAAATGCGTTTCCTTTCTATTACTCAGAATATTATGCTAAGCCTTGAGCATTAGTTTTTTTATGTTGCCATAGCAGCCTTATTCCTGCAGGGTTGTGACCTGTGATGATTACAGTACAAAGCTTATAGGGTCTTGAAACCCCCTTTGAAGATGAAAAGTCTTTGATGGTTGATATTTATGCAAATCTCTTAGATATGATTTACCCAACTGAGACTGAATGGAGAGATGATTAAAATTCCCTTTTCCTTTGATATCCATTAATGGCTGAATATTCCTTAAATTTAAAATGGATATATCTGTTTTCATCTTTATTTACAAAAACCATAGCTTTATCATACCTGTGGGCTTTGGGGGATTTTGGGGGGTTTGTTTTGTTTTGTTTTTTAATCTCCCCACATCTTATTAGATCTAGATAGACATAATAGATTTACAACTTAGAGTGTGGGGTGTGTTTTTTTTCCTTTTGAAAGGGGGCGGGGGGGTGGAATCTGTGCAGGAGCTTTTGTATGTTCCCAGATGATAGATTTTGGAATTTGGGCTACCCCACTGGCAGCACCGAGCTAGCTGTGAACTGGTCTCATGGGAAAAATCGGAGCGCTTTGGTCTTCAAAGAATTAAACTTCCTTTTTAAGGTCTTCCTAGGTAAGCTAAAAAATTATGGAGAAAAACCTTCTGAACAAAGGGTAATGGGGCTCCCCTGAGTAAATGGGGTCCACGTAGCAGGCCGCTGAAGGGTCGATGAGGGCGGCAGTGCGGGGCAGCAGCGAACACAGAGTGGCAGGTAGGGCCAGGCCGCGTGGTTTTGCGGGCCCTCATTTGCATTTAGCCAAAGTGGGCTGGAGGCCTTAAATAAATATGTTTTCAAGGACAGCATTGAAACGCTGAGAATCGCTCCTTGGAGTGCTAACTCCTAGCCCTCAAACTGCTCCTTTGGGGTGCAGGTGGGGGGATTATAATGCGTGGGCTTTGCTATTTGGAGTGATGGGAACTTTGTTACCTTTTTCCCTTGGCCTTTCTTTCTTTTTTTTTAAAGGTCTTTTGTGTGGAGGAAAGAGGCTGGCTGTTACTTCCTCAGGTCAAAGACTTAAAAACTGCTTCTCTGTCTACATCTCAGTGCTTGTACTGCCCCTAATCACCTGTGACACTTTTGGTTTTAGTTTTCAGACAAATTCTCATTCCACTTAAAAGGCCGAAAACTTGAACAACCAATGAATTTAATCCCTTTTGTGGAAACTGCAATGGGTTTGCTCAATTTTAAGGTAAGAGAATCATAATATGGTTAATAAGCTAGTATTTTATTTATCACCTACAGAGAGCTTTTGTTTGCAATTTTAACAGTTACTTAGAATAATTTCCTAGAAGGATTTACAAGCGAAGTAAATCTTGCGCACCGTTTGTTAGCTGTACGATTAACCCCAAAACCAGGCTGTGAGCATCTTAGAGAACAGAGCGCGTGGGTAAGTCAAAAGGGAGAAGAACTTCACTGGCCTAAATATTTCGATAAAATAGTTATTTATTTGGTAATCGTTTTGATTATATAACCACTCTGAATATATGCTTTGAATTATTACATTTATAGGTCGAAAAAACATGGAAATGTATTTTGTCCCCCTTATCAATTAACTCTAAATTATTCTTTAGCACACACTGTCTTTTCCTTGGGAAATTTTCCAACCTCTTTGTTGCGACGTTATCCATAACGTCTAGCAGAGAAGATGAATATTTGTAAGTTAACATACACATATGATTTGCTATATTTCAATTTGCCATATCAGAACATAAAATATCCTCTAATACATTTTCGGCCAAGTATTTTTGATAAATACATAGCTGAATTACTCTACCTGCTTTAATAAATTAATAGCTAGTTCACTTTGCCCCCTTTTCTCAGTGAGCATTTATAATAATGTTTTCCAAAATATGCTGGTTTCCATCTGACGTGGGGACATCAACGTAGCAGTCTCCTCTCAGAGGGTCCACACTGCCTTCGTTCTCTGGGTTCAGGAGGAGACTTCCACTAATGACCAATGGAAGAGACAGCTGCCCTGTCCTGGAGAGAGTCTCTCTGTGGAAGTGCTCTGCCGGGACACCGTGAGACCCACTGGACCGTGCAGGAAGGCCAAAGAGCTGCTCCAAGCCCGGGCCTCAGGGTCAGCGTGTTTACGCGGCTAACCACAAACCCTTCCAGCCCACCCTGGCATTCCTGCATTTAATCAAAAGCCCAGCCCTTAAACGCAACCAGATCCATACAGTGATTTCATTTTAACAGCTGTTTCACCATATATTATTCCATGATGTACTCAGAACCCTTCACAACCCTCCCTGGAATTAATCAGCAGTGCCCTCACACCATTCTCATTTCTTCCCCACCCACTTCTATTAGCATGTTGTATCTCCACCTTCACAGCTTCCCAGTTAGGTATCTGTGACAAATGCTGGTTCATCTTTATTTTGCTGAGGCTACTTGTCATCTTGGATGACTTGTTGCCTTTTCGTTTCCCCTTCTGGAGTTGTCGGCTTTGTGGTGGTTGTTATGTAGGTCTTTAATCCTGAGAACATTTGCTAAAAATCTTGATCCTAATGCAAATAAGCCAATTAGTTCATTTGACAGAAAAAGAGCCCTTCCTTCTCTCCCATGGTTTTATGGGCATTATTTGATAGTCTCTTGAAGCAAAAGTGATTGGGGAGACATGTATACAACATATGAGTGACCTCAAGGTTTCTCTAGAAATTCAATGAGCTACAATTCAACCCTTGTGTATCTTAGTAATAACTACTAATAAAATCCATGAAACAAAGTAAATATATGCAGCAAGTTACTTATCCTGGACTAAATTAAACGCCTTTCGAAAGGGGTACACTGGGGCTACCTATTTGGGCTGTCAGAGCGTTCTGTTCCTTTTGCTGTCTCCAGCGCGCTGGCTTCTGGGAGACCTGCTCTGCTCTCTGCTCTTTTACAGGCCGTGTGTGAAGAAGCGCTGAGGACTGGACCTCACGTGGGTCTTACTCTAGATGCTGTGGTTTTTGGAGGAGAAGATTTCCGAGCCAGCATAGGTGTCAAAGATACTTTATCCCCCCTCCCCCTCTCCGTGTATATGTGTGTCCAATTTTTTTTCTTTGCCCCTCATGAATGGCCATTTCCATGACAATATATTTGCCAGCCACGACGAGGCTTTTTCAGCTGGGTGGATAACACTTGCGGACAATTTCGGGCTCCTGATAGCTGCCCTGCTTCCAGAACTATATGTGATGACTTTGGTTCATTTATAAAATAATAAGGAGCCTGTTGTGGCCTCCGACACATGCAGGGATGTACGGCATACATCGTGCTTATAAGAAATGCATTCCGTGAACAAGCTCTCCTTTGCTTCAATATTCTGTGAGCCTATGCGCCTGAGAGCTGAATCTCAGGCAATTTCACATTTGCTTTCATTCATTGTTTTCTACTTTAAGTAGACAGTGTAAATATTATGTAAAACAAATCTTAGGTAGCTCTGCAATTACATTTTGAGACTCTGATTAAATATTCACCGAAATATTTTGGTGGCTTTCACTGATCTTCAGCGTCCCCAGAGCACTGGTCTGCGGGTGAATTTAACTAGAAACTGTAAAGTCAAAACCACCTTCACTATTCCCACAACCACAGTTCCCATGAGCTAAGGCATGAACGTCCCCTAAGCACTTTCAGGAGCCACAGCGGTCCTGGCAGGTAGGGGGGGTGGCAAGGAAGGTTAATTTAGGTCCAAGATTTCCAGGAACAGTGGCTGATAGAAAACCTACCAACACTGTCTGCCCTCAAAGATGAGTGCCCTCCATCTCCCCACATTTCCCATCCAAACCTGGAGGCTGAAAGCCTCTGGCTCCACCGCAGCTGTGGCAGGCACCGCCCCCCCAGCGTGCGCCGACTCTGTGCTCGGCTGAGGTGTCAACCATTGTGCAGTCCTGCCTTAACACTGGTTCTTTCCAGGCCGGCAGGAAGGACCCACGTGGGGGAGAGCTCTAGCTCCTAAAGCGGGATGGGGCCTTTCTTGGCATGTACAAGTCATGACACTAAAGGTTGTCTCGAAAGATTGCGACGTGGGCAGTGTAAGTTCACCTCTACCTACCCATCTCTTCTCTTCTCTCAGAGCAATGATTTCAGTGAAGATCCGTTCTCAGGGAGGCAGATGGTTTGCAAGCTATGTTTTGTGTTTTGTGTTGTCTACCTATAAAAAGCACCTGGGTTTGGTTTCTAAAATTAAAGTCTTCTCTCTTCTGTCAACATCCCATTTTCAGGCGCAACAAGTAGTAAAGACACCCAGGACATTCTCTACGCCCGACAAAAGGTGATTGTTGTAGCGAAGGCCTTTGGGCTACAAGCCATAGACCTCGTGTACATTGACTTCCGAGACAGAGACGGGCTCCTGAGGCAGTCCAGAGAAGGAGCCGCCATGGGCTTTACTGGTATGATCCTTCACGCTGGCGTAGCGAGCATGGGGCCTACGTTGGCAAGCATTTCAGGGGCAACAGAGAGACTGCACCAGAAATTCGTATTCCTAATGTACTTAGTTATTTCATATACTAATTCCACTCTTTGGAATATGAAAATGCCATCTAGGGCAAGAACCCGATAAGCACATGGCAATGGTTTTCTTTGCCTCTGCCGGTCCAGAAAACACACATCACTCATTTGCTTTTCTCTTCACGCTACAGCCAGATTTTGCTCAGCCCCGGTGAGTCTTTTGTGCAGGTTTTGCTGACCTGAGAGAAGGCCTGAGCATATTTCAGAAGCGTCTCCTGAGTGAATTTGGGCAGGTGAATGGGGCCTTACACTGGGAAAGAAAATGTTGCTAAAAGACTCAGACTAGTCGTTTCTTAAAGCACTTTTGGTGAAATCTTCATTGATTTTTTTTTTTAATGCATAAGTAGTTTCTTTCAGCCCCCTACTCCCTCCAGGACTTCAAGCCCCCTGCTTTCTCTCCAACCCCCACTCACATCCCAGTAAGTGTTTGTGCACCTGCTGACACCTATGGGCATTAGCAGGCACCGAGACTAGCAGGTCTTTTGCAATCCAGGCCTAGAGTGCCAGCCAGTAGGCATCTGGTTGGTGACCAATCGCTCAGAGACCTGTGAGCCAGGGGAGGAACTGAAAATTTTGTTTTCCCAACAGAAATCTTTTCTTTTGAAAAATTAAATAGCGTGTTGTTTTATGTATTTGTTTCAGCTGAATACACAATTATGGATAAAATTACCATAAGTTCTTTTTTTCATCCGTCATTGTGCTTAAACATTCTAAGAATATCACCGTTCTAAGAATGTAAAAAATGTGCCCAGACCCTCACAGGATGAGAGAAAATATGGAACAGAACCTCAATGTTTATTTTTTTAAAAACACACCTTCTAGACTGGTTAAGAACAGAGGACTCCCCAAGATCATACCCTGTGATACTCTGAAACCTTACATTAAAACTAACTTCTGAGGTCACCGATGATTGGCCCCCAAATTACCAGCAACCGTAAATCCTGTGGTCCTGTGTAAGATCACTCGTGTGATGGCAAATGGTCCCCACTTGTAAACAAAGAAGAGAAGGTCAGGCGACAGGGACACTGAATGAGTGCGAACGGAACGACTAGGTTGGAAACCCTGAGCATGTCCATGCATTGTGAGGGAGGCAGCCAGCATCGCTGAGCAGCCTACATGGAAATTGTTGGATGGGAGCCCTCAACTGCCTCGTAAACCTTCTCTACAGAAGCATTCCTTTTTAGAAAACAAAGAAATGTACCTAAATGGTATAGAGAAGATAAAAGCATCCATGTCGACCCCTGTTGTATATATGTCAGAAATGCGTCCCCTGGGAATTTCAGGAAGAAACATTTCATAAAGTAATATTGAATTTAAAAGCTTACTTCATGGATCATGATTTAACCCAAAATTGTAGCTAAAAGACTTAAGCAGCAAGTTCAGTGCTATATTAAAACGTAGTAAAGCGCTGGCATTTGGTTTTGTTTTTCATGCAAGAGTTTAAATAAATGTGATCGATCCCTTCTGGAGAAATATATTTCAGACATCTAAACTATTAACAAGTCCGTTTCCTGTGTTTACCAGGGACTGAGGAAGAAGAGTCACACTGCCACTGCTGTGGCATCCAGCGGCCTGTCACACCTGACTCTTCCCAGGGCTTGGTCGCCCTGCTGCCCAAAGGGAAAACTTAAGAGAAAAATGCCATGAGAGTTTATCTAATGCCCGAGAGAAAAAGGCCATGGGGTTTATCTAATGATGATGTTGGCCTCAAACATGTGGCACAGACTCCCAAGCAGCCAGGTGTTGCTCTGAAATGAAAACCAATTCAACGAAAAACCAGAATACATGGACTTGATATTGCCTCTATCGCCGTCACTCAGAATGACGTGGGCTTCTGGGTTTCCTCTGGGGTAAAGGTTTGCTCCGGAACTTAAAAGGTAGCTTGAGGGTTTGTCCAAGAGACAGGACTGAATTAAATGGGTTCCTAATTCAATCACAAAGAGGAGTTATTTCAGATCAGGTTGAAATTTGAAGTCTGTGCCCAACACAGCATGAGGAGCTTAGTGGCCTGGCACTATTGTTTTGCAACAACGGGGAATATTAAGTCACCAAAAAATAGAAGCAGGGAGAATGGTGAGGCACAGAGGGCACCGGATCCATTATATATTCAAAATGAGTGAGGCAGCAAACTAGGCGCTGCGCTACATAACCCTGTTGATATTTTTATTTATTTCGTGTGAGTGTGTCCCTGAGTGGGCTCAAACATGATGAGGTTTTAAGAGAGAAGGTCTTTTCTTGACCTAATTATATTGCTACAAATCAATAAAAGATGTTTGGTCAGATAATAAGAGATGTAATTATTTGTAGTCTAAAAAATAATAATAAGTGCTTTGTCGTGGGTATTTTAGACCACTCATGATCTGTTAGCCCTAATTACCTAACCTTTGGTTGTCCGACTTGGGCTTTACAGAAGAATGACGGCCAGAAGAGAAGGGGAAGGGGGAGAGGGCTGGGGGAGAGGGCAGAGAAGGGGAAGGGGGAGAGGGCTGAGGGAGAGGGCAGAGAAGGGGAAGGGGGAGAGGGCTGAGGGACGATTGATCGATCGCAGACCCAGAGAAAGCCTCCCTACCCTGAGGAGGAAGACCCAGTCTCTGCTCTAAGGGTTTTCTGTGCTTAGAAAAAAGTCAGCATATTTTCTTGAGCTGTAGTTTCTTAAAAGTTAGCAGCAGTGGCTTGTGGCTTGTTTTCTGCAGTCATTGTTTCGCAGGGCCACAATCCCTGTCGATCGATTTTAAATCAATGCATTGGCTGTGTAATGGCCGTGAACTCTAAGAATATTTTTATTAAAAGAAGCCCAAAATAAATCTCAGACTCCAGCTTTAACGGCTGACTTACTCATTAAGGTTACTCCAGTACTACATGCTGAGAAGAAAGATTACAAATATGAGGCACGATAGGTTCTCGTCCTTTTCTTTTTTTTTTTGGCAGTCTTTTGTAGAAGACAAAAATGACACCATCATACACTTACCTAAAAGACTTGACAGGTATTGATTTAAAGCACGATACATCAAGTGGTACTGTAAAAAGGATTTCATGGTCATAAATTTTAATGTCTTCCAATTTTGCCCCCTCTCAGTAACTTGTCCATAACAACTCTTCGGTATAAAATATTTGCTTCATTCTCGCATGGCAGTCAAGGCTGCTGGCCAGTTGTTGAGGCTTATAGGACGCCGTGAGAGAGTGTCACATGAAACAAATACTCATAAATCTTTACAACCGATTCCATATCTTAAAATTTGCCTCATGACCAAAATATGCTTACTTGAAAGCCCTTAGTAGTTTAAAGTATATTAAGTAGTTATGTTTGCTCTTGAATTTACGAGTTCCTATATTAAGGAGTTCCGATGAAATCTGACTTTTTGTGCATTATGTACATAATTTATAAACTATAAAACTCAGAACTAATAATTAGTATAAAATGACTACCAGAACTGACACCCTTTATTAATAATATTGTAACAACTGTTAGACTATTTAAATGTAATCTCAATATCTACTATTGAGAAAGCCTCTCATGTATCATTACTGATGTTATTTGCTCCTAGAAATTATTCTTCAAGTTATTTAAAGCATCTTTACTTATACAGGCTTTTAGCGTTTTTTAAGAGTAGGCTAACAGATATAACAATGAAACTGCGATATGAGATATTTAATTATGCCACTGTAAGGAAAACTTGTTTATATTTACCAACTTAAACATGTGTTCAAGAAATGCTAGAAAGTATTTTTAAAACCTTTTTATTGAGAGTTAATACCGATAGCATTTCATTCCATAGTGCAACCTAAAAGATATTTTTACAAAAACATTGTTCACTTTTCACTTGATGAAATAATGACAATCACAGGATTTGACTAAATAAAACATCAAGATACCATTTATACTTACTAAATGTTAAAACAATTTAACGATTTCAAAAGTAAAACAAGTTGACATAAACGACAAATATGCTTAGAGTAAATTATCATTAAGTGTTCATTCATTTTAAAGGGCCAAATATGTCCATAATTTTATCATGTAATAAAATATAATCTCATCATTATTACAAGATTAAATTATGCTGCATTTTGTTAATGCCCTGATTAGATTCCACAATTCCCTGACTGCTAAATTGATTTTTTAATGACTGGATGATTTCACAGAATCTTGTGACTCATGGTGTTTGTGTAGTGTTTTTATTTAAAATCCTTAAACTTCAAAAAGAATCATCAAGCTTTTCTAAAGCTAAGAGTACAGAGACAGATTTCGCTTGTAGTATGTAAGGAATCATCTAAGGGGAACACACACTATTCGTTCTCCAGGCAAAATGGGGAGATGTTGATGTATTTTTGTGTGATTTTTGGGGGGTAAATGTCTTAAGGGATGTAGCCTAGAGACTACAGGGTTCAAATTTGTCTTCTCTTTTATGATACTGAATACAGTATTTTCCCTGAAGTCCAATTTTCTACTAGTGTTTATAAATGATTCACTATATTCTTTGGTGAAGAAAATTAAAGCATGTTCTTGAAAGGTGCTATTTGATATTACTATGGTTAAAGGCCTTGTAAATTATGTGAAAAACAAGAGCCTACTTTCTAAAAGACATCATGGTAGGCAGGATATTCCTGCCCAAAAAGCAAAAGACAACTGGTGCATTTTGAGAGAATTCTTGTTTAAAGGTTTTGGTTTGTTTCTTTTTCTTTTTTTTTGGTGGGTTTTTTGTACTTTAACTCAAAATAATCACTCTAATTTGCAGGCATTATCCTTTGGAGTTCCAGCCAAAGCAGTTACTATTCAAAGGGCTGCCTAGTCAGTCCACCTGTAACTAAAAATGAGAGATTATCTACACTTAGGTGGCATTTCTATAGGATCGGAAACAATTACTTCCATTGTTGTATTTGTTCTTATTGGTAGTCTAGAAAAGCCTGCCTGATTGCAGTTCCTTTTTACAAAAAAAGTTCTAAAATAATTAGTTAGTTAACAGCCGGTGAGGCATTCAGGAGGCTCGCGTGGTTGAAACATTTTGGTTGAACATCTGTTGGTGGTTTGGGGTCTCCAGTGTTATGACTCTTCCGTAGGTAAGCAGGTGATCCACCCGAACCAAATCGCCACTGTCCAGGAGCAGTTTTCTCCTTCTCCTGAAAAAATTCAGTGGGCCGAGGAGCTGATTGCTGCCTTCCAAGAGCATCAACAATCAGGAAAGGTAAATGTTTTGTTAATGCCTTGGGTAGAACTGGTGTTTAAAATACTGTTCAGCTGTGGGCACGTGTGAAAAAAAAAAAGAGGGTTGGGGTCGTTTTTAAAAGCTCATTCTAGGTTTTGTTGTGTTTGGCTTGGGGGGCTGGGAGGTAGTTATTCACCAGCGAGAAAACTGTGTGAAAGTAGATTTGTTCTTCTCACTTCCCTCGATAGTATACTGACTGGCTCTCGGGTCTTCCACGTTACGCGTTTCATCTACTCTGTTGGCAGCCCTAGAGAAAATTGGAGTCTATCTGGATTTGCTCTATAGACTTCGATGCAGCATTCGTGTGAAAATAATTTTAGATCAAAGTGAAAGCAAGTTGTCATGAAATAAACACAGTTTGGCCACATGTTTCTTGTGGAGAGAAGAAATAATTTCAGTTATTTTCATTTGGGCGGGGGCGGGGGGG